GTTCTGGGGGCATGTCACCTGAAGTAATTCAGCTCTGTGTGGTTTTCACCTTGATATACCGGTAAGTTCTTTTGGCTTTTGAGTTTTAGGATCACTGTTTGTGTTTTTTTTCCATTTTGATTTGTTTTATACTCATGAAAAACACTTCAATGGTTTCAAAGTCAAATGAAAATTTCAAAAATAGACTGAAACACAATGAAACACAGGCTACAAAATAAGGTACAGTCCACACTGGTTGGCATCTAGCCCCTGGCCATGTCTCTCCCTCCCCTATAGCTAACCATGTGCTTTCTCTTTTGTTTTATTCTCCCATTTTGTGTGTGTGTGTGTGTGTGTGTGTGTGTGTGTGTGTGTGTGTGTGTGTGTGTTTAACATAAATGCTATTTTAAACAGTGGCAACAGTCAACAATCTAGGATGGTTATCACGTCCTCTGTAGAATATTCTATTGCTGCCAAAACTGACCACCAAGAACATTAGTCAATGACCTAGAAAATACTTCTGATACAAGGCTGAAGGAACAAAGGACACCGGGTTGGCTCTACTCCTGTTCACAATGTCAAACAAAAACACATAAAAGCACCAAAAGCCCAATAGCAACTCTGTTATGGTGGCGGGATGATGGTCTTTTTTTCTCCCCCTTCCTGTATTGTCTACATTTTCTGTAACATGATTAGATTATGGTTTTGAGGGAAACTGCTAACGTACAAAAATTCAAGGCCCTTGAATGACTACATGTCCAGCTTCTTTAACTCAGTTGGGGCTGTCCCCGAGCCCCCCAGGGTCCAGACAGAGGGGAGAATGTGGAAAAGCAGTGGCTAGCCAAGCACCTGTGTTACAGCTGAGGACGGTGTGATCGGCACAGGCGCACACCTGTCCTCCAGGCTCTCTGGGCGCTACTCCCGGAAACCCAAACTCAAGTGCTCAAAATCCTGAACACAAGCCAGGCAGCCAAGCCACGGGCAGAGCTGGCACAGGGCACAAAGCGCTACACATTCCTGGAGCTGGAGCTGGATTCCTGAAGCTCGTGCTGCTCTGGCCTCAGGCGGTCTGCTACTCTCCAGGGAAGGGGAATACGATCCAGAGTATCAGAGGGGGAAAGAAGGAAGGAGGGAAGGAGGGAGGAGTGCGCCCAACGCTGGAGAGGAAGGTGGCCAGGGCTGAGCCACCCTCTGCTTTCCCAGAAGGCTCCAGCTTTCCTTCCTTAGCTCTCCATCCCCCACCCCCTCTTGACCCTCCCAGAAGCCCAGGCTGGAATCCTGGCCCCATGTCCTGTCTTGAGGCTCCGGGGTAGGGGCTGTAGGGGGAGGATCCTGCAGCCTCCAGGCCACAGCACTGTAATGGGCACGGGGAGCACGTGGGATGTGAGTGAATCCTAGAGGGGGTGCCCCACCAAGCGCTCACCGGGAAAGACTTGATGGACCACACGATCTCGCTGTTTTCAGGGACCCACTTGACGCTCCCCACTGTTGTCTTGAACTTGGGCGAGTCGGCGTCATTGGGCACAGGGATGTGGATCTCCACGTTGTTGGCCGTTGACCGCCGCTTGAACTGGCTCTTGGCCTGGAGAAGAGGCCCACAGTCAAGGTTGTGAAGGGTGAAGGTGAAACAGCCCAGCCCAAATCCAGCCTGCCCAACAAAGACTATGTTCCCCTCGGCCTGGCCTGTGGGACCCTCCTCCGATCTGATCCTCAGGTATTCTCAGGCACCGCCCATGCCCTTCTCACCGTGAGAGTCTCCCTCTGCCTGACTTTGGAAGTTCAGTCGCTGTCTTTCTGCTCACTCAGCCTTTGGAGCTCCCCATACCTCCCTCTGGCCCAGTCCTGGCCTCCTAGGACTTAAAGGTCTGTATCCCCAAGGCTGGCCTGAGCTATACAGGGTTTATTGAGCGGCAGGAGTGCTCCACTTGGCAGGCAGCAGCCCTTCTGGATGCCTGCACACAGGCCCAACACAGTGGCTGCACCCAGGACCTGAATGGTGTGTCTTTTTTTGGTGCCCTGGTCCCACCTGGGAATCTGAGCTCACAGTGAGGCAGTGAGGATGACGGCCGAGGGCCTCACTCCTCAAGATGGGAGTCACAGAGCCCTATGGTGGCCCGAGCACCAAAGGCCCTGGAGCAGAACACACACAACAGGAGGGGCTGTGCCCTGTCCCCCCATCACTGCCCTGTCCCCCAGGCTGACGCTTTGCACAGGATGTACACGCACCTTGATCATGTACTCGATGCGGCTGTGGGAATGCTTTTCAATCACCGACTCGATCCATATCAAGGGCTTGACCTGCCGGGGAGGGTGGAGATGGCACTCACACCCGGTCGTGTAACAAAGCCCCGTTTCACAGACAGAGACCGAGGCCTGGGGCGATGGGCCATTTGCTCAGGTGTGAGCCCGGTGTGAGCCTGGCACACTGCAGCCTGGGGCTGCACTAGGGAAGGCTGGAGTGCAGATCCAAGTAGCAGGGAGCTCTAAGGGCCTCTGTGGGAATGTGGAGGACATCACCGGGGCTGTGCTGGTGGGGGTGCCCGGGAAGGGGCAGTGGTGCCAAAGGGCCCTGGCCCCTCACAAAGCTTGGAGCCCCAGATCTTCAAACACAGGCTCTGTGCATCCCACCCTGGGTGTCACCTCGTGGACACGAGACACCCTGGATGGGAACTGTCTCACCCCAGGGAAAAGGCAGGAGCCTGCTGGAGCCTCCCTGGCTGCCCGGTGGTGACAGCCAGCCCCAGGTGAGGGGCACCTGGGGCACTCACGTGGGTGTTGAGACGGTAGGACATGAGCTCGAACTCGCCGTCGGGGGGGATGAAGGAGATGGTGCGGTCGTTCTCGAAGCGGGACAGCCGCACGCACTGGTGGAACTTCACATCCTCCAGCTCCACTGACTTGCTTTTGCCTCCTGACGGGAGGTGGGGGTGAGGGTGGGACAGACCCAAGGCCTTGGGGGTCACTCTCAGCAACACTCCCACTGCCTGGGGCCCACCCCTGGCAGAAAGCAGAGCTGTCCCCAAATCTGCAAAAGCATCTTGGGCCACGAACACCCAAGGGGCTGGGTTCCGAGACAAACCCCCCCAACTTTACCCTCCCATCCTTCCTCACTCCCCGGAGGCCCCTTCAGCTCCTGACACTGGGCTCATGCTGAGGGCAGGGCTGGTCGGCCTGTTTCACACCAAGTCCCCAAGTAAGGTGGCTGCTCAGGACACGTTTGTTTAATGACTAACACACCCAGCTGAGGGTTCCTGTTGATAGTTCAGGGTTCCTAAGAGCCCTGGCCCCATTGTCTGTTGGATCTTGGGGTCCTATCTTGGTTTCCCATCTCACAGAGGGGCTGTGGGTGTTGAACCCAGCCCCAGGAAAGGAGTCGCCCTGATGGGCTAACCCCTGAGAAGCCCTCACTTCTGCTGCTGCAGAGGTAACTGACAACGCAGGCCACTGCACCCGCCGTGCTGGGCCTGTGGCAGGGGGAGCCAGGTGGTCCAGTTGGCAAACATGGAGCCCCAGCAATGTGGACCCTTGAGGCTGCTCTGGCCCTGCCCCAGCACAGGAAGTGCGACTTCCAGGCCAGGTCCCTTCTATGAATTTATTAGTTATTAACTTTGGGTATCATTTCTAGGTATCAATTTTCATAATTGTCTTATAAACAAGATGCTTGAGATCGTGTTCCTTCGCTCAGGTGAACGTTCCCTCAGCTCTAACTTGAGTCCAGGATGAAGTTGCCTCGGGGGCAAAGGCTGCTCTGTGCATAAGGCCCCTTCAGCCCAGGCTACTCACGGCCCGTGTTGTCGAAGAGGACCTTATCGTTGAGGCCCAGGCGCAGCTCGGGCATGCCAGAGAGGAAGACCCGCATCTTGATGGAGCCCACAATCTCACTGCGCAGGACGTTGCCATTGGCGCTGACCTGATGGGGAGAGGTAGGCGTGAGGGGAGGCTCCAACTTGCCGTCCGCCGTCCTCCACCATGCTGCCTGACTCTCTCGGCCACCCCCATTCTCAGCTCCCTTCTCACTGTCTCCTGAGCTGGGGAAGCCTCGTTCGTCCCATCCAGCCTTCGTGCCAGGGTCCATGAGGCAGACACTCGTGGGCCCCACCCTCTAGGCCTCAGGCTACAGGGGTTCCTCCCTCATGGGCAGGCCTGCTGACCTGGGCCTGGAATCCTGTCTGAGGGATCTCTCATGCCCTCTGAGGAGTCCTGAATGCCTGGGGCAGACCTGGTGCCTCGTCCATGTGCCAGGTCTGCCCTGCCAGGCCGTGCACTTGCCGGCCTAGGCCTGGCCTCTCAGAGCAGCCAGACTTGCTTTTCTCCAGATCCTTTGTTTCTCCCCGTGGGGACTGCGGAGGTCACCAGGCCCACATGCCCAACGGCTTGTTAAAGATGGTGCTCCCTGGGCCCTGACCCCTCCCAGTTCCCCGGGCTGCCCTGAAGTCTAAAAACCACAGATACAAAATAGCAATGCACTTGAACAGATATGGTCACGATGTTCACAGACCAGGCTGAGCAGTTCCTCTGCACCAGGGGCCCTCTCGGCACCCTCAATAGTCTGTGGGGTGGGGCTATGACTTGGGCCACCCTGCAACTCACGTGCCAACTGGGAGGTATCTTAGAGTGCAATTAAAACTCACAACAGGCTGATGGGCAAACCCTGAGACTGTCCAGGCTGCTAGAGCTACTCTTTCATGTCCATTTTAGAGATAAGGACACTGAGGAGGGAGCTGTATACCAAAGGCACAGAGCAGGTGGCAGAGGTGCTGGGGCCACAGCCCTGACCAGCACCCCAGAGAGGCCCTCTGCCTAAGGCCACATTCACACGAGCATTGAGACTGAGGCCACCCAGGCCACTCCTCAGAGGCACCAGCCACGCTTCCACGGTGGAGGGCCCGAGCTTCCTATCACTGCAGAGAAGCAGGAAATTCTGTTCAGTCTTCAACTTGAGGGTCCCAACAGCAGCGCGTGCCCCCACGAAAGCCCTTTCCTTCTGAGAGGAATGGAGAACAGACATCAAGTGGATGACAACCCTGAGATATTTACAAAACAGGACAGAAGGCCGTGCAGGGTCTGGCTCGGTCACCTCTATCGTTCACTATACTCTGGCCACACTGGCCTCTCGCTGTCCACATCCCAGCAGGCAGCTCCCTGGCTCCACAGTGCACAGCATCTGCCGCCTCTCACCAACCCCATCTGCCTGGCTCGTTTCCCTTCTAGTGAGGGGCTGTGCCAAGCTGCTCACTGCTGGGTCAGCATGGAGCCAGTGCCCGAGGGCAGGAGGCACTCAGCAAGCACAGTAGACGTGGGTCCTCACTGTCTGGGCTCTGGCAGGCTGCCACTCCCACCTGCCTAACTCTGTGGGCCTTCTGTGCTCCCCCCGACGGTGACTGTCCCCAATCCCCTTGGGGAGTCAGAACCATATGGTCTTCTGTAACTGAACACATGAGGTCATAAACGCTGGGAAGGCAGGACCAGGAAGTGGAGACAAAAAGCCATGCAGCCCACAAGGCTAATTTTAACCCTGGGCGCAGCAATCAGGATAGATTGGCCTTCTCAGCTGAGGCGTGAGTAGTGTTCCAAAGCCGGTGCCTTCCCTGGGGTGGGCACAGAGGAGGTATTTGCTGAGGGGTTGGCTACTTGAGTGTACCACTCCATCCAGATTTCTGGAATCTAGAGGCCGATGTTGACTCAGCTGCCAGCTCTGCAAACACACTTAGGAAGGAGGCATTCTAACATGCCTAGATGTGCATACCTGCCTCATGCTGCCTCATGTATGAAGGAACAGAGTCCTTCAGGTACAGCCACATGTAGGGACGCCTCCAAACCCCCACTGTGAACTCTCCACACTTTCCCATGCAGCTGTTTATAACCTGCTCTTGGGATTTGCTTTTCTATCCAGGACACCCCAGAGGCAGATGGACCATGTTCTGGGCTCAACGAACAATTCAGACCAAGGTCCTCAGGCAAGAAGGAAACATAGTTAGCGAGGCCACAACCTCACCCCTAAGCTTAATATGAAGAAATACAGTTATGTTAAGTCCACTGGGACTATCTCTTTGGGAAGCACGCTCAACAATGTCACATCTGAAATCTCAGCCTCCAGAAATCCTGCCCAGGTAAGGGAGGTACTCAAAATGCACGTCTGAGGATGCATGAGCATGCTCATTTCTTCACCATTTGTCACAGTTGGAATGAGCACACCTGAGTGAGCCACATAACAGGACTGGCACAGTCATCACGGGCTGCCCATATGGTGGAGGTGGGGCCATCTCTGATGCAGACAGGCTGAAGGTGAGGTGGAGTTGGCTTGCATCCCTTCTCTGCCATTACCTTCAGGCATGGGCAACTAACTATGGGAAGACTGAAAAGCGCAGCAGGCAAATCCAGGAGGAGGCAAGAACGAGCGGTGCCCCTCTCTGCCACACGAAAGCACAGAGCAACCCGGAAGTGGAAGTGAGCACAGAGCTCTCAGAAGCCTCCAACTCTGGCTCCAGAGCCAGAAGGGAAACTTCTGTCACTCAGGGGAGTACAGAAATCTCCCATTTCCCCTTCTTCTGTGCTTTCTACATCCTAGGACCCAGGCAATCTAGCCACTGTTCAGAAAGGGTAGAGCAAGCCCAAGATTCAGGCCCAAGTGCGGATAAGAATGACAGAGTGGGGATCTACAGCCCTACGTGTTTGGCCACAAAACCAAAAAGGAAAGCTGCAAGCAGCCCGAAAGTACCAGACAGATGGCAGAGAGTGAGGAGTTCAGGAAAGCAACCCCATGGAGTTGTTCGTGTCTCTAGAGCACTCTAGAACTGGGCTGCAGGGACGGGATCCTTATTAGCGCCCCAAAAACTTTGAGAACCAAACTTCCCAGTCCCAGACTGACCACTGGGCAGTGTATACTTGGGAGAGACTCAAATTACATATGGCACGAAAGCTTTGAAAACTGAACTGACTGACACTATGGCCTACAGAGTGGGGGTGGGGACTCGTGGCCTAAACTGAGCCAGGTCAACTATTGGCTAAAACAAAAATATCAACATTTTCCAAATAATTTAAATAAGACCTAGAATCTTATAAGATAATGTTCAAAAAGTCCAGGATATAATCTAAAATTATTCGGTATACAAAGAACTATGAAAATTCAGCTCACATGGAAAATACAATCCATAGACACCAACACTGACATAGATATTGATCTGGATTATCTGACAAAGACCTTAAACAGCTATGATAAAAACTGCAAACACTCTTACAACAAATGTTAAAATAGAAAATCTTAGCAAATAATTATGATATGAAGAAGTATCAAATGGAAATTTTAGAATGAAAAATGCAATAACAAAAACTCACTGGATGGGCTCAGTGGCAGAATGGTGATAAGACTAAAGGGTCAGTAAACTTGAAAACAGGTTAAAGGAAATTATTCAATCTAAAACAACAGAGAGAAAAAAATATGGAATAAAATGAACAGAGCCTCAGGAACCCATGGGACAATAACAGGTCTAACATTCATGTCACTGGAGTTTAGAAAGAAAAGAGTGAAACAATGAGAACAAATTTGAGGAGAAAATATCGCAAGTTTGGTGAAAGACATAAACTTACAGATTCAAAAAGTCAAACAAATCCCTAATGTTAGAAACCCAAAGATATCCACACCTAGACACATCATAATCTAACTGCTGTAAACTAAAGCCAAAAAAAAAAAAAAAAAATCTAGAAAGCAGCCAGAGACAAATAATATGGTGCCAACCGGAGAATATGGATTCAAGTGATTGTGGATTTCTTATCAGAAACCATGGAGCCCAGAAGGAAGTGGCATATTTTTAAGGTGCAAAGAGAAAACAGTCAAACCAGAATTCAATATCCAGTGAAAATCTCCTTTAGGAATTCAGGTGAAATAAAGACATTCTCAGATGAAGTAAAACCAAAGGAATTTGTATCCAGTAGACCTGCTCTAGAAGAACTGCTAAAAGAAGCTTTTAGATGAAAGAGATATGATAACAGAAGGAAACCTGGAAAATCAGGAATGAAGGCAGAACAACAGAAATGGCAAATATCTGGGTAAATATGGAAGACTATTCTCCTCCTCCTGAATTCTTTAAAGTAAATGTTTAACAATTGAAAACAAAAACTTTAACATGAATTGTCTGGTGGGGTTTCAATGCATGTAGATGAATATATAGGACAACTCTAGCATAAAGGGGTACTAAAGTTTCTAAATTTTAATTAAAGTGGTAAAATACTGATTCAAAGTAGACTGTGAAAAAGTAAGTATGTATTTTATAGCAATCACTAAAAAAGCTATACAAAGATATAGTAAAAATCACAATAAACAAAATAGAATACTAAAAATGTTCAAATAATCCACAGAAAAGTTAGGAAAAGGAAAACAAAGGGATGAAAAACAGAGAGGACAAAAAGAAAATAAACAGTGATATAGTAGATTTGAATCCAAAAAATTCATAGCAACAGTAAGGAAAAACGCTTTAAATATATTGATTAAAAGACACAGACTATCAAAATGGATTTTTTTAAATGACCTAATTATATATCGCCAACAAGAAACTCACTTCAAATATGATGCAATTGTTAAAAATAAAATTTTCTTTTTAAAGTAAAAGGATAGAAAGATATATACCATGTAAACACTAATCAAAAGAACTCTAGAGTGACAATATTAACAGCAAAATAGACTTCGGAACAAAATGATTACCAGAGATAAAGAGGAACATTATATAATTAATGATAAAGGGCTCAGTTCACTAAGAAAACATAAGGATCCGAAATGTGCTTGTATCTAATAGCAGACTTTGAAAATATGTGAAGCAAAGACATAGACAAATTCACAATGAGCTGGAGATTTTAATACTCCTCTTTCAGTAATACATAAAACTAATACACAGAAAATCAGTGAGAATTGCTAGAAGAACCAAATGATGCCTTCAAGCAACTAGATTTAACTGGCATTTATAGAACGTTCCATCCAACAAAAACAGAATATACTTTTTTTTCGAGGATACATGGAACGTTCACCAAGAAAGATCATATTCTGGGCCATTAAAACAAACCTTAATAAACTTTAAAGATCTGACATTATACAAAGTTTATTCTTAGACAACAGTGTAATTAAAAATTCTGACAAATAAAAATTTGCAAATTTAGAAACTAACCAACACCATATTAAATAACCAATGGGTGAAAAAGAAAGTCTCAAAGGCAAATTTGAAAATACTTTGAACAAAAGTGAAAATCCAACATACCAATTGTGGGACGCAGCTAAAGCAGTGCTTTGAGAGAAATTTATAGCATTAAAATGTTTATACTAGAAAAAAAGAAAGGTTTTAAAACGTTATCTTCAGTTTCCACCCTAAGAAACCAGAAAAAGAAGAGCAAAATAAACCCAAATCATGGAGAAGGAAATACTAGAGCAGAAATCAGTGAAACTGAAAACAAAAACAATAGACAAAAATCAATGAAATCAAAAACTGATTCTTTGTAAACATCAGTAAAATAGATGAACCTCTCACAAGACTGTCAAAGAAATAAGAAAGATGACATAAATTACCAATATCCAGAATATCAGTACAAACCCTGCAGACATTAGAAAGATAACAAGGGACTACTATAAACAATACAATGCATATAAATGCAATGACTTAGATGAAGTGGACCAACTTCTTAAAAACAATCAACTACCAAAACTCACTCAAGATGAAACAGAAAACCTGAATAATCCTATAACCATTAAAGAATTGAAATTTATAATTAAAAATATTCTGAAAAAGAAATTTCCAGGCTCAGATAGTTTCACTGGTGAATACCACCAAATAAAATTTAATATATACAACTTAAAATAGCTTCAAAAAAGTAAAATACTTAAATATAAATCTAACAAGACACGTGCATGTTAAAAACTACAAAATGCTGATAGAAAAGAATCAATGATGACCTAAATATAGAGACATGCTGTTTCATAAATAATGAGACTTACTATACTAAAGATATCCTAAAGATATCAATTTCCCCCCAAATTGATTAATAAAATTATTTACCACAATACCACTCAAAATCCCAGCAGACATTTTTGTAGATATAGACAAGCTGACTCTAAAATTCTATACAAAGGAACTAAAATAGTTAAAACAACTTTGAAAAATAAGAATGTTGGAGGAATCACATTATCTGATTTTCAGATTTACTACAAAGTTAGCCATCAAGGCAGTATGGTATTGGCAAAGGAAGAGACATACAGATCAATGAAACAGAATAGAGAGCCCAGAAGTAGACTCACACAAATATGGCCCATTGATTTTTGACAAAATGCTAAAGTAATTCAAGGAAAGGATAGTCTTTTCAAAAAATGTTAGAACTGCAAAAAATTGTTTTATATGCACAAAATGGATATAAACCTCATATCTTATGTAAAATTTAACTCAAAATTGATCATAGACCTAAATGTAAAACTATAAGACTTTTAGAAAAAAATTTAGAAGAAAATATATACGACTTTGGGTTTGGCAATGAATTCTTAAGACATCGCACCAAAAGCACAAACAATTTTTAAAAAATTGATAATTGGACTTTCTCAAAATTAAATATGTTTGCTCTGTGAAAGACACTGCCAAGAGTACAAAAGGACAAGCGACAGACCGGAAGCAAATATTTTCTAATTGCATGTCTGACAAAAGACTTATATCCAAAATATATAAAGAACTTTCAAAACTCAACAATCAGAAAACAAACAACTCAATTACAAAATGCTCAAAAGACATGAAAAGATACTTCTCCAAAGAGAATATGTAGGTGACAAAGAAGTACATAAAAAGATGTTGAATATCATTAGCCATTAGGGAAATGCAAATGAAAGCCATAATGAGATACCACAACATACTATTAGGATGACAAAAATAAAAACACTGATCAAGAATGTGGAGTGACCAAATCTCTCATATGTTACTGGTGGGGATGAAAAATGGTGTGGTCAATCTGGAAAATGGTTTGGCAGTTTCTTATAAAGTAAACATACACTTACATATGACCAAGCAATCCCACTCCTGGATATTTGCCCTAGAGAAACAAAAACTGTCCACACATAAGGCTGTACATGAAACGTTTACAGCAACTCTATTCGCAACTGCCAAACACTGGAATCAACCCAATGTCCTTCAGTGGGTGAATGGATAAACACACTGTGGTTCAGAATATAAATAAAGATAAATAAATGTAAAAAGAAACAAACTTTTGAAAAATGTAGCAACATGGATGAACCTTGAAGGTGATATGCTAAGTAAAAGATGCCAGATTCAAAAGGTCACATACTGTAGGATTCCACTCATATGACAATTTCAAAAAAAAAAAAAAAAAGACAAAACTAGAGTGACAGAGACCAGATCAGTGGTTGCCAGGAGTTGGGGATGGGCAGGACTGTGCCACCACCAAGGGAGAGCACAAGGAGGTTTCCAAGGTGACGGCGCGGTTTAGTGTCCTGAAACTGATCGTGGGTACACAACCCTGTACACAGGCTAAAATGCATAGGTCAATTTACCTAATGATAATTTAAAAAGTTAAAGTAAAGGAAAAAACAAATATATACAAAACAGTAAAACAAAACAAAAACCCAAAACAGAAACAAAAAATGTTATTTTGCAGAACCACATCTTATGCTCCCAGTTTTATAGAACAATGTACGTTTGTACAGCTATAGAATGAAGCCCCAAAGGATGACAATGAATTCTTAAGCAAGGTGGTCTTTCTGATTAGAGCCCTTCACTTTCTAACTTTACATATTGCTTTTTCTTTCTAAACAATGCACATGTATTGATTCTAAATAAGAACAAAAGCTAATGAAGATAAAACAAGCTCACATTGCAATGAGTGGCCCAAACTGAATTCTGCTGATCTGCTATCACATGGAACCTAAATATTTCTTAGGGCTTTGATAGTTTTAAAAATCTACTTGCTTTCATAACAATCATGGAGAGGATAAGATTTTAAAAGAAGAAAGAAAAGAAAGGAAGCCTACCAAGAGGTTGACTGACTCGATGACATCCAAGAACACCTCGTTCTTCCGGTACTTGATGCCTTCGGACCGCCAGGACACTGCGTTGGTGACAGTGGCTGGGGGCCGCGGGGCCCCCGTTTCCAGTTTGTGGCCTTCCTGAGTGATGTACCTGAGGGAATACACTCAGATTTAAGATGCCCAGGAACTGGCATTCTTGAAAACAGCCCCTCACTGTAGCAGGCTCCAGAAAAGGCAGGCTCTGGTTTCACCTGGGGCTGTTTAATTCAAAATTATCTTATGATTTTGGAAAAAACCAATAAACTAAAGTTACAATGAGTGTACAGCAGGGGTCCCCAACTCCCCAGCCGTGGACTGGTACCAGTCAGTGACCTGTTAGGACTGGGCCGCACAACAGGAGGTGAGCGGCAGGCGAGCGGCAAGTGAGTGACGATTCATCTGTATTTGCAGCTGCTCCCCAGCGCTAGCATCACCGCCTCAGCTCCACCTCAGATCATCAGGCATTACATTCTCATGGGAGCACCGGTCCCTGGTGCCAAAAAGGTTGAGGACCGCTGGTGTACAGCATTCATTTGGGGAGGCCAAGGAGACAGAGGCAGTGAGGAAAACCAGTGTTGGTATGCAGAGGAGACTAATCCCCTGGGAAAGTAACCTGGTGAACCTGCTCTCACTTGGGGAGCAACAGGCATAAGATGTGGGCAAATTACATGGCTTCTCTGAAAGTTCCTTTCCTCCCCTGTACAATGGGAGACAGAACCTCAGATTGTAAATAGACTGACTGTAAAGTGCTCACACAGGGCCCCGTTCACAAGAAGAGCTTAACCCATGGTGGCCATTATTTGAGGGGCAGGATTCCAGAGAAGGCAAAAAAAAAATTTTTTTTTAAATTACAGACTCCTTTGTGACTGTTAAAACAAAGGCAGGTGACTCTCTAACAACCAGGCATTTAGTATACCTTCGTGGATGAAAAATAAAGACTTAGTAATAGGAAACCACTCATCATGCAGGAA